GCTTTCCTTCTTCCAACTTGTTGGTGGTTTTCTCTGTGAAATCGTACAAAATATCTGTAATTTTCCGAAAAGTGTCCCAGCAGGTCTAATTTATGAATTTATCTGCATCATTTCAGTATGCGAGATCATAAGGTCTGGGTTATAACCATGAATTTCAAAAGAGGTTTTGGGTATCCCTACCTGGTGAAACAATGTCACGCGAATACGTCCTACGTACGACTGTTTAATATTTGAATAACACATTGGTCTTCTCTCTGCCTTACCCTGTGCATCTTCTCTCATTGTTCCAGTTGCAGAAGAACACCATCAACTGGTTGCACCGATACGAGATTATTTGAAGCAGGCAATTAGGATGGTAACGGATTTAGCACTGCCTTTTTATTTCACCTTCGATATCATAATAAGCCAACTAAATGTGCACTTGTAAAAGATTAGTTCAAATGAGGGTAATTTATGCGCTGGATTGTGTGCGAGTCGCAAAGGACTGGGAAGGCTCGCTTAGCGGTTGAGTTTTTCTAACGAGGTATTAGGCTTAATTAGTAAATGTGCTCTCCTATTTATCTTTTACCCTTTGGGGTTAATACGGAATTACAATGCCGCTTTGCTCCGATCAGTCGGCAAATCAGTAAGATAGCTACAGTGTGACAAGCCCTCAGCATAGAGCAAGTAAGAACTCTTATTTGAAATTGTGTTGCCAATAAGTCTTCATTGCAAAGACGACTGAACCGAAATACCAGAGATAATGGATGTTTTCTACCTGTTAGCCTATTTAGGATTGACAGGGATGCCGTGATACGAGGTATATGGTAGAAGATGTTATTAAATGGGCGTCTTCTTTAAAAGCTCTAAATGTGGAGGCATGGAACGGACCCAATTATTTCGTCTAGGGCCGATGGAAGCCGCGATAGGAATCGATGTTGATTTTATCTGGTGTCTTTTCCTTTTCTGTGAACAGATCCTAGCCCTCCGGCGACTAAAGAAATCGTGGAAGCGTACAATCGGCTGCGCAGTAACATCCTATTACTCTACGATCTACGAGGCGCTCTGCTGCAATGCGACTACGAACTCCACGCCGCCAGGGCTCGTATGGAACTGTTTGCCGCTGAGAGGGTACTCATTTCTCACCTTTTGCTTCTCCTAATTTCTTTTCATGCAAATCCTTTGCGGACTGGTTAAGTAGGATTCTTTGATCACACATTGGAGAGGGGTTGTGTAAAATCAGCTAATAGTCTCATCTCTAGCTATTGTCTTTAGGAGCGCTCCTGAGCATACTTAACTTCCATTTAGAGGGTACAATAATGGGCGTGGGAGTTGATTTTATGAGGCTTTAGCCTGTGAGTCTGACCTTTAAAGTGGATAAGTTTCGAACACTCCAATATGTCCCCTAACTGAACACCTTTGAAGAAACTTGATTAAAAATTGGTGTCTGGATATTTTTGGTGGTTTTAATTCTTTTCGTGGTGGTTGTGGGCGCTCCCGGGTATTCTCGAGCTCCTAATGGAGGTTGCAGTTTTTGACGCGTGGGTTGATTGGATGCTGAATGCAATTTCATAGCTTTTGCGATCTACGCCTCCCTATGGACTGGTAAAGTCCCGAACAAAGTAGCCATTATCTCAACTGTGTGGTTTGGGCTTGACTACTCCATCTTTAACCGCCTCAGGGGATGCCTTCGGAAGCATTGGCATTTTTAGAGGAAATAGTTGCATAACTCAGTGGTCTTCGTAATCTACAATCGTTGGAAAGCTGGGAAATTTTTGAATGAACGAGCCTTTCTCATTTGTGGACCTTTTTACGTGACCTTCGTACCTTAGCAGTAGTTTCTTTGGTGCGGAGCAGTCATTTCCCACCAATAGTGCTCTTGTCCATCCAACGTCACGAATGGAGAATTGCGATTTTCTGGATGATGATTTTAATATCATGGCTCTCTTGCATATTATAAATGTTTGGCTATGGCATCAGCAGGGCCATGTGTAACCGTGATAAAGTGGGCTTTTTATCTCCAACGCAATCTCAGTGCTTTGTTTCTCGCACCCAACTCTAAATTTTAAATGCATTAGCCATTATTGTTACGAATAGAATACCAAGTGGAGGACCAGGTTAAGGCAGGGGCTAGTTAATTGATAAATAGTAGGGTGTCTGCATTTCCTTTTCCGTCTGTTTTATTTCATTTCCGTCAGTGTCCTACCTTATCAACAATCGTTTGTGGGCGGTAAATGCGTGTTGAGGTTTATTAGGTCATCACTTTCCTAAGGAGGTAGTTTTTCTATTTAATAGGGCTATTGGTAAATGTATTGCTCAAAAAGGAAACATAAAATAATTGTTCGTTGCTACCACAAATATTTACTGGTAGGAAAAGTGGTAGTGCGTTTTCCTCCTTCAAAAGACCCCAAACAAGTAGATTGTAGTTGTAATGAAACCATAGTATGGTTTTTCTTAAGGAAGACGGATGTGCTGAGTGGGAGGAAGGGATAATGAAGATTATATCCTCTCGGTTCTTTTACATTTAAGAGTTTTGATACATTGGCAGCCTAGGTGGAAGCATTAATAAAAGTGTAGCATTTCTACAAAGTCATTTTTTTACTTACAATCACTGCTATTTTTGGTCCATGGGATTTTCTAATGGACAGCTTGATTTGGTAGTGGAGGACCCATAGAGTTCAGGAGTGTGTCCTCATTTCCCGCTTTGCTCCACTTAATCAAGGGCTGTCGATTTCACAATCCGCATTCGTGTTCATCAGCATTTCTTCCAATGTTGAATTAGGATGAATTGATTGAGGAAGGTTGAACTCAAAATTTGCCTTCATCCTCATTGAGCTGAGTATTGAACGAAAATAAATCTTCATCACGATCTGATTATGCAAACGATTTGTGACTTTTTGAAGTTTATCCGTTATGATGTGAATGGTGCGTGGGTGAATTATTGTTTCAACGAAGGCATTTTTGACAACCAGTTTTATCTTGGCGGGTGTTAGGAAGCGATCAACTTCAAGCTTTCTAGGCTATTTAGCACATACAGATAAAACCTATGGGATTTGGTGTTATAACCCCGGAGTATGGATGAGGATGAGTTTTTTAGGCAGATCTGATACAATCATGATTTTAAAATGGGCTTGGGTGTTTCTACCGGGTAAAACACAGTCCTGTAAATATCGAAAATGTGTTCTGTTTAACTTTTAATCATTTTTATGCAAATTAACCACCTCGTTACCTCTTCACCTTTGCTCGGCAATTCTTCGTATTTCATTGTTTTACCTGTAGAGGGCTCTCATGAACTGGTTATGTGGGAACGTGAGCGTTTAAGGGATAGCTGGAAGGGTGGTAGCAGCCTTATCAAATTTTTCAATCGCCTCTTTAATGCTAAGATGGCCCGCCTAGTGTAGTTTGACAGCAAATAGCGTCAACCTTTCCAAACATTAAGACGTTATTTGCACAAATCACTTTTTTCTAGACTACTGGCTGGAAAAGGCGCTAGCAGACACTGAAACACTTTGTTAACTGGATGAATTAAAACATTTGCGTTTTTGAATCAAGCCTGTAGGCTGGGTGCGATTCCTATTGACCTGTATGTAATATGACCAGAAGGTCAAGAAAGTCGCTCTTCTAAGGGTAGGACTCCAAGGAAACCGGAAGGTCAAGTGTCTACTCATGATGAGAACTAGCGGCGACAGCTTTGCCGTCCCTGTCCTGCTATGTGCGTGTTGCCCATGGTAGAGCGATCTCCACCGTCTGAGTGAACATTTGGCTTGAAGACAATGGAAGGAAAAGAGGCTTAACATTGGCCCTAGTCCAGTCCATCGCCAACCGCTCTGTGTACAGTAACAGACAAAACCGGCCGCTTTGAGGAAAACAATGCACTAACCCTCAATAAAATGCTCTACCGCCTCCGTGTTGCTTTAAATGCCCACTTTTTTGGAAGATTTTGTTCCAAAGAGAGGCAGGCAAGTCATTGTTCGGCGTCATAAGGTGTCTGATGACAGTTGACTACTTCTGTGTCCTAAGAGGAAGAAGAACAAATAAATTTTGCGCCTGACATTTAATTTAGGCATAATGGGACGCAACAACCGTTCGTTCATGCGCTACTCGGTTCTTTACCGACAACCGGAGGATACGCTTCCGTTATTTCTGTTTTTTTTTTTTCACCTTCAAGATGGAGGTACACAAACGGGCGTCTTTTCTCAGCAAGAAACTAATTGACTTTGCAACCATATCAATTCAATTTGCGGTAGCTTGATTCGTTTCCGCTGTTTTTTTCTATACCTTTAGTCGGATTTACGCAAATCACGTTCTATTTTAGATATCACGCTTGTAAATTTAATGAAAAAAGCAATCGCTAAAGCGTATCTTTTTTTCTCGTGTTTGTTTTCGATTAAATCTGCCGGAAATCGGAATGGGGCATAACAAACGCAGTGGGGGCAATGCCACGTTAATGCCTCAATAGATTGGTAACTTATTTTCGCTTGTTGTACTTTTTGGAGGTGCTCTTTTTTGTTTTTTGCCTACCTGAAATTGAAGTTTTCTTAGAAGTCACGATCCATTGCGATCGTTGGTCGGTGTCTATATGGTTTTCAGTTGTTTTGATTGGTTACGTGCTCAAACAGGGGGAGATTATTTGTAAAATAATTTGTTGGAATAGTTTGAGGAAGGTCGTGTGGGGCTCCAAGCCCTCCCCGGGGTCGTATCCATTCACTATTAGCACCTAGAAGATCCTCAAGGCTATGAGCATAGATTAGAGTCCGTCCATAGATGGACGATATTGGTATATCTCGCGGGCGTTGAAGAGCTCGCTTAGTTAAGTATCCATTTAAACAAATACCAGTTCCTTGAGGTTTTAATGACTTTCATTCTCCCTCCACATTGAACTCACTTACCTTAAAGAATTGTAAGAAATGCTTGTGAAGAAATGTGCCAAATCCTGACAGTCGTACTTACCTTACCTTCTTCTCAAAACAGAAGCAAACACCTTTTTTCTGTACTGTTCTCTCTCTAGTCTTCATGTATAAGTGAGTAGCCTGTTCTCTGTCTGCTGTGTTTCACTTTTTCCACAAAAAATACTGCCAAGATTAGGGAACTAGATGACTACTTGTGAGAAAGTTTTGACGGCTTCCATTTTTATTTGGGAAAAAGGAACCAATCAAGATTATGTAAAATACTGAGAATGGACGTGAGTCACGATCTTTTCAAGCCTTTCGTTGTGCGTGCTCGCATTGTGAATTCTGCTGACCGCGTGTGATCATTTCACGGGGCGATTCCATCTTTCTGACATTAATTATGTCCTTTGAGTATCTGCTGTCTTATCTACCTGATGCTTTAACGTGCGGAGATAATGACTGCTTTGACAGGGGGAATGAGGGGTGTGCACTGTAAAGTTTTCATCGTTGAAACCACAAGCTATTTACTAACACAAGTTTTTTGCTGGAAAAGTTTTAATCGGTGGAGTTCTGTCTCGAATACACCGCGAGATTCCCGACTCAGTCACTGGGAGGCCTTGGTTATGTTCTTCCATATTTTTAATCAGCCTCAAATCGTTTTCCTTGTTTGGCTCGAACCATTTCATCATCGTCTTTTCGGAGTTACTTCGAAATTCTTTTCTCTTATCAACGCCATGGATCACTTAGCCTGAAATTTGGAGTTATCGTAGATTGTCAACTTTTGGGCCTTATTTTTAAACAACTTTTTTTTTCTTGGAAAACGGACTTACTGTAGGAGACGGTATTCCAAATCGTTATTCCACTTGATTGGTTTTACTTTTACCAACAAAGCCGTTGGTCACTTGATCGATTTTACAGGTCTCCACTAAGGGAGCGGAAGTATATTTCTTTTGTTAAAATCAAACCTGAGCATCCTCCAAGGGTGCTTCCTGTTTACCAGGGCAAGAAAAATATAACACCTTCTTGACACAACTTCCGGTCCGTTTCAGGCCCGCTTATCCCATGCTAGGGTTTATGTTCCCACATTCAAGGTCCAGCTTTCCTGCAATCAAAACTGGCGCTTCTGTTCTCAAAATTAAGTTACCACTTGGCACCAATCAGTTGGATAAGTGCTTCAAACGAACCATTTTCGCACCCTCTTAATCCACTTTTTTACATCCTAGCCAGCTCGGTACACATTTGAGGCATATTTGGTGAAAAGGAAAGTAACTCAATTGGAAGGGAAAGAGAAGAATTAAGACAATTTTAAGGGTGTCATGTTGGATTAATAAAGCACTTTAACTATGGTAGGTCTTTTTTCAAGATACTGTTGCCGGTTGTCCTTTTTTATCTTTTACAGTCTTACTTTGGAAGGTGGTTAGAATTCTCACTTAGGAGTTAAGCGTTGCTCGCGTTAAAATCTCGGCCGTGTTCTGTTTGCTCTTTCACTTCCAATTAATGTAACTTTATCCTATTATCCGATGTAATTCGTATTCCCCTTTCTCACCTCCTTGCCTTACTAATAAGGACAAATATTGCCGAGTGGATGATGATCTATATTGCTCAAACCGCCTATACATTGGATCTGACCTAAATCTGCTGAAATATCCCACCCTTGTTCCTCAAGGCGTTTTAAGACATGCGGGTCTGGAGGTATCTTTACTATGAACGCAAAGAGGGATTGAGAAAATAGCCCCATGAATAGAGCTATTTAGAATAATTGTGGAGGCCAATTCGCGGGAGATTGAGGGAATCTACACAGTAATGTAAACTGTTAAACAAATATCGATGGTACAAAACTCTACTCTTCTTTTGAGCACCTCCTCCATTCGCGTGGTGAGACGGAAATGAATATAGTAGGGTACTCTTTCATCCCCATTAAAAGACTTTCGTTAGCTTGGGGAGAGCTGGAAAAATTGGTGCAACTAGGTATGCCATCAAAACAACCATCAGCATTCATGAGGTATAAATATGAATTCTTCGTTCATCCCGACAGATTCCAGCAAGTCTTGCCAATCTGACAACGAATTCTGGCAAATCAGGTACCTCCGGTCCCACTCCACCTCCCGGTGTTGATGCAAGCGTGTTGGCTGCGCTGAAGGCAGCAGATTCGAAGCGTCCCGCCCCACCACGTCATTCCTTTGGCCATGCAGGTTCTCTGGCTGCAGCGGCGGGTAGTGCGGGGGGCCTGACCACTGTCCCACCCCCCATTCCCTCGCCCATGCCCTCCCCCCACACCACTTCTTCTCCCTCTCCTTTGGGTGATGCTTCACCTGCCTACGCATTTGGTGGCAGTCAGCAGCAGACATCGTCGCTGGCCTCGCAACGAAGAAAACGCGCCGCTGCCACGGAACAGGGTCGGGTAATGAAGAAACTGAAGACCAAGGGCCATCTGTTGGAGTGAGGGGTCAGCAGTTTTCCTGTTCTGTAAAATTTGATTCCTTATATCTGTCTCTCCCCATCTCATGCTCTAAAAATGAAGTCGTGTTTTTCATTTTATTGTAATTTGCATTATGTTTTTATAAGGGCAACTTGAAAATGCGGTTGTGGAGAGCTTTCAAACAAAATAGGAGTGTTTGAGGTCGCATTCCGCAGAAAGCTAATGTATTTACCCTGCTGTAGGTAGCAATCGAAGTCTTCGGAATAGGTTTTTGGTTGAGAAGCGTATGAAGATATTTTGATTTCTACTGTGTCTCACAATGGCAGCAGTGGATTGTTGATTGAAAGCATGTCTTCCCCGGCTAGTTCGTTCATGTAGCTAATCAAGATGTGTGTTTCGTTGAGTTGGAATCACGAATGATGTCACTCTGGGTTCAAGTTGTAGGCTGGTTCGATGCTGTTCAAGACTGACTCTGTGGAGGGGTCATGTAGGGCCGCCAATTTTGGTATTCAAATTACCGGAATCTGTCCTTTAACTTGTCTGTAAAAATTTATTAAACTAGTGGCTAGCTATGTTTGGGCCTAATGGCATGGCCCAGAGGTCAGACCGTCTGCTGGAGGCACCGTGGTGGAGCCTCTAAGTGGCCCATTGCCAAAGCCGAGTTGAATAAACTCGAAGTATTACGCAGCCTATCTTCTTTTGACCGTCGTCCCTGGCTTTTCCCTTGGTCATCCTCCCGCGTCAGCCGTCACAACGCAGTCGATAATGCAGGAGAAAAACACCCACAAAGCAACTGCGCGAGTCATCGAAGTTCAATGCAACCGTGGACATACTTGACCGCAACGTCATTTATCCCTCTTGTTAGTTCTACTGGATCCAGGGTTTCGTCCTGTATGGGAACTGGATTCGGGGACAGAGGAACGCACTCGCCATTACTTGGATCCATCGCTAGTCGAAGCAACACTGGTCTGAGAACAGGGGTTTTTTAATAATTTTGTTGTGGGTTGGGTTTCGCATCTGTTCCTCCTTGCCACCTTGTTCATACTTCAGAGCCACCCAGACAGACTATCTGTTTTCCATTCATCTGGTAAATCTGGAGAAGGTATCGCGTCTTCATATAAGTAATATCTTCGCGCAGAAAGGGTAGACAGCTCTGTAACGAACTGTTTCAGATAGTTCACGGCTAGTGTCGGTTTATTTGTTAATAGCTTTCCTACAGAACGCAGAACTGGGGTGGTTGCTGACCTCTTCTGCGCCGCCAAGGATGTAAAAATCAGGGTGGATGCCCTTTGAGGTAGGGCTCGCTTTCCGCTGCTACTAATGGATTGCTCCGAGATTTCCCTGAACACGAAAGAAGGCATAATACTTGAGTAGGTTAGGTATTGCCGACATACAGAAGGGTTGGGTGGTTACTGCCATTGCCCGGAGATCCGACTGCCCGGCGGAGGTGCAATGGAGGTGACCCAAAGGGGTGCCTTTATCAAAGCAGTATCCTGTAGATTCATGTCCTCGGTTAATACTGCAGTTACCAGGGTCTCAGAGGAGAAGCACCCAACACAGTCCAGACGTGGCCTATTGTTCTAATTAATTCCGAGCCAAGTACAGCCCGCATCAATTTTATTGTCTTAAACTTGGCCCACCTGTGTGGAGCACAATTCGGTGCGGTCGGTTATCACAAATTGTTGGAGCACATATGCGAGGCCATAGTTGTGAGACCTCAGTAAAGATTGAACGATGTCCTCCAGCAGGTTTACTTACCACAAAAACAGCAGCGGATCCAATTTGAATGCTGAGCACCTTGGACCGATTCCACTCCGGGTTTCCTTTCATTTGGGATCTTGACGCTACCGAGATGCCTATCTGGGTTTCATATTAAAGGAATGGGCGACATCAGAACGCCATTCCTAGAGAGGCATGGGTCTGTGTGACCTGGACGAGATGATTCTCCAGTCAACTCCAAGCTGCCGTTAATTAAAGATGCGAAAGGTAACTTAATCTACAATACTTCTTCGCAACAAACTTTACTGCTTATTCATGCGGAAGGAGGGAGAAAAGCGAGCAGCATGAGGGACTTTTTTCAAAAAAAAGGGGAAAGGTGGAAATAATGCCACTTGACATGTTGCGCATCTTCGCGAGAAATCCCATGTGATGAGGCAAATGGAGATTAATTGCCATTTATTTTTCCCTTGTTGTTATTGTTGCAGAGAAGTTAATAAATTTGTTCTCCTTTAATTTTCCCATTGTCCATCCATTCCGCG